GGCATAAAAGGTCATAAAGACGTCATAGTATGGTCAGGCATCAAACGAGATAGTATAGTAAGGCATAAAAATGCCAAAAAAGATGTCAGTATAGCATGGCAGAAAAATGCCAAAAAACATCATAGTATAGTATGGCAAAAAACTTCAAAAAAACATCATAGTATATTAAGGCATAAAACGTCATATAAACGTCATAGCCTGGCAAGGCATGAGACGAAATTATATAATTAGGCATAAAAATGCCAAAAAACGTAAAAGTATAGTATGGTAGAAAAAAAAACATAAAACTTCATAGTATAGTATGGCAAAAAACTTCAAAAAAACATCATAGTATATTAAGGCATAAAATGTCATAAAAACGTCATAGAATGGTCAGGCATATAACGAAATAGTATATTAAGGCATAAAAACTCCAAAAAAGATCTTAGTATAGTATGGCAGAAAAATACCAAAAAACGTCATAGTATAGTATGGCAAAACATGTTAAAAATACATCATAGTATATTAAGGCATAAAATGTCATAAAAACGTCATAGAATGGTCAGGCATATAACGAAATAGTATATTAAGGCATAAAAACTCCAAAAAAGATCTTAGTATAGTATGGCAGAAAAATACCAAAAAACGTCATAGTATAGTATGGCAAAACATGTTAAAAATACATCATAGTATATTAAGGTATAAAATGTCATAAAAACCTCATAGTATGGCAAGGCATGAGACGAAATTATATAATTAGGCATAAAAATGCCAAAAAACGTCATAGTATAGTATGGCAAAACATGTTAAAAATACATCATAGTATATTAAGGCATAAAATGTCATAAAAACGTCATAGAATGGTCAGGCATATAAAGAAATAGTATATTAAGGCATAAAAATGCCCAAAAAGATCTTAGTATAGTATGGCAGAAAAATGCCAAAAAACGTCAAAGTATAGTATGGTAGAAAATGTCACAAAAACATCATAGTATGGCAAGGCATAAAAGGTCTTATAAACGTCATAGCCTGGCAAGGCATGAAAAGAAATAATATAATTAGGCATAAAAATGCCAAAAAACGTCATAGTATATTAAGGCATAAAAATGCCCAAAAAGATCTTAGTATAGTATGGCAGAAAAATGCCAAAAACCGTCATAGTATAGTATGGCAAAAAATGTCAAAAATACATCGTAGTATATTAAGGCATAAAAATGCCCAAAAAGATCTTAGTATAGTATGGCAGAAAAATGCCAAAAACCGTCATAGTATAGTATGGCAAAAAATGTCAAAAATACATCGTAGTATATTAAGGCATAAAAATGCCCAAAAAGATCTTAGTATAGTATGGCAGAAAAATGCCAAAAACCGTCATAGTATAGTATGGCAAAAAATGTCAAAAATACATCGTAGTATATTAAGGCATAAAAATGCCCAAAAAGATCTTAGTATAGTATGGCAGAAAAATGCCAAAAACCGTCATAGTATAGTATTGCAAAAAATCTCAAAAATACATCATAGTATATTAAGGCATAAAATGTCAAGGCATCAAACGAAATGGTATAGTGAGGCATAAAAACTCCAAAAAAGATCTTAGTATAGTATGGCAGAAAAATGCCAAAAAACGTCATAGTATATTAAGGCATAAAATGTCATATAAACGTCATGGTATAGTAAGGCATGAGACGAAATTATATAATTAAGCATAAAAACACTTAAAAACCTCTAAGTATAGTATGGCAGAAAAATGCCAAAAAACATCATAGTATAGTATGGCATAAAACGTCAAAAATACATCATAGTATATAAAGGCATAAAATGTCATAAAAACATCATAGTATGGCAAGGCATTAGACAAAATAATATAATTAGGTATGAAAATACTAAAAAACCTTTAAGTTTAGTATGGCAGAAAATGCCAAAAAACGTCATAGTATATTAAGGCATAAAATGTCATAAAAACATCATAGTATGGTCAGGCATATAACGAAATAGTATAGTAAGGCATAAAAATGACAAAAAAGATCTTAGTATAGTATGGCAGAAAAATACCAAAAAACATCATAGTATAGTATGGCAAAAAATGTTAAAAATACATCATAGTATATTAAGGCATAAAATGTCATAAAAACCTCATAGTATGGCAAGGCATGAGACGAAATTATATAATTAGGCATAAAAATGCCATAAAACGTCAAAGTATAGTATGGTAGAAAAATACCATAAAACGTCATAGTATAGTAAGGCAAAAAACGTCAAAAATAAATCATAGTATATTAAGGGATAAAAAGTCATAAAAACGTCAAAGCATGGTCAGGCATCAAACAACATAGTATAGTATGGCAGAAAAATGCCAAAAAAGATCTAGTATAGTATGGCAGAAAAATGCCAAAAAACGTCATAGTATAGTATGGCATGAAATGTCAAAAATACATACATCATAGTATAGTAAGGCAAAAAACGTCATAGTATAGTATGGCATAAAATGTCAAAAATACATCATAGTATATAAAGGCATAAAATGTCAAATAAACGTCATAGTATGGTCAGGCATCAAACGAAATGGTATAGTAAGGCATAAAAATGCCAAAAAAGATCTTTGTATAGTATGGCATAAAAATGCCAAAAAACGTCATAGTATAGTATGGCATGAAATGTCAAAAATAGATCATAGTATATTAAGGCATAAAAGGTCATATAAACGTCATAGCCTGGCAAGGCATGACAAGAAATAATATAATTAGACATAAAAATGCCAAAAAACTTCAAAGTATAGTATGGCAGAAAAATGCCACAAAACATCATAGTATAGTATGGCATAAAATGTCATAAAAACGTCATAGTATGGTCAGGCATCAAATGAGATAGTATAGTACGGCATAAAAATGCCAAAAAACGTCATAGTATAGTATGGCATAAAATATCATAAAAACATCATAGTATGGCAAGGCATGAGACAAAATAATGTAATTAGGCATGAAAATGCCAAATAACTTCAAAGTATAGTATGGCAGAAAAATGCCACAAAACATCATAGTATAGTATGGCATAAAATATCATAAAAACATCATAGTATGGCAAGGCATGAGACAAAATAATGTAATTAGGCATGAAAATGCCAAATAACTTCAAAGTATAGTATGGCAGAAAAATGCCAAAAAACATCATAGTATAGTATGGCATAAAATGTCAAAAATACATCAATTTATATTAAGGCATAAAAGGTCATAAAAACGTCATAGTATGGTCAGGCATCAAATGAGATAGTATAGTACGGCATAAAAATGCCAAAAAAAATCTTAGTATAATATAGCAGAAAAATGCCAAAAAACGTCATAGTTTAGTATGGCAAAAAATGTCAAAAATACATCATACTATATTAAGGTATAAAATGTCACAAAAACCTCATAGTATGGCAAGGCATGAGACGAAATAACATAAGTAGGCATAAAAATGCCAAAAATACATCACAGTATATTAAGGCATAAAAGGTCATAAAAATGTCATAGTATGGTCAGGCATCAAACAACATAGTATAGAAAGGCATAAAAATTACATAGTATAGCAAGGCATAAAAAGTCACAAAAACGTCATAGTATAGTCAGGTATAACAACGACAGTATAGTAAGGTATAAAAAATCATAAAAACAACATAGTATAGCATGGCATAAAAAGTTGTAAAAAGGTCATATTATAGCAAGGAATAAAACATCACAAAAATGTCATAGTATAGAAAGGCATAAAAGTCATAGAATAGTATGTCATAAAGTCATAGTATACTGAGGCATAAAATGTCATTGTGGGGATGGACATGGTTGGCATGCAGCTGCAGGAGAGAGACAGGGGTGTGGAGAGGGCTGACGAGAGCAGTACCTGGTGAGTTGATTGATCAGCTGCTGCCTGTTAATGAGTTTCTTCCCTTTTTTGATGCAGTTGCGTGCTGGACCGAACAGGACTGACACAAAAAGCAAATAGTGAACAGCGGCCACACCAAGCCATGAGAAAATGCTGAGTGATTAAGTGAAATGAAGTTTGTGCGCCAAAGAGAGCCAGCAAACGAAGACAAGTTTTACTTGAAAGCATGTGTGTGTGTGTGTACAGTCCTCACAATAAAAATAAGTGTTCTTGCCTATTGTCTGGTCAGTTTGTGTGCTGGGGAACTCACAGTGGCAGCGAGTCCTGCTACAGTCATAGTATGGTAAGGCATAAAAAGTCATAGTATAGTCAGTCATAAAGTTATAGTATACGAAGGCATAAAAAGTCATAAAAATGTCATAGTATAGTGAGGCATAAAAAGTCCTGAAAACATCATGGTATAGTAGGGCATAAAAATGACATAGTATAACAAGGCATGGAGTCATAAAAACAACACAGTATAGTAAGGCATAAAAAGTCATAGTATAGTAAGGTATAAAAACACGTATACACGTGATCGTTCTGTAAAGCATAAGAAGCCATAGTATAGTAAGGCATAAAAAGATAAAAACGTGATAGTGTAATAAAACATAAAAAATAATAATATAATGAGGCATAAAATGCCATAAAAATGTCATAGTATAATAAGGCAGAAACAGTCATAAAAAGTCATAGTATCTAAGGCATAAAGAGACATAGAAACGTCATAGTACAAAAAGAAAACAAAACATCATATTATAGTAAGGCTTAACAAGTCATAAAAACAACATAGTAAGGTATGGAATGTCATAAAAAACGTCATAGCCAAGAAACAGTCTCAGGTGCTGAAATTAGTTGTAATTAACATGAGATAGCTAAAAAGCACAAGTTTCCGTAATATGATATCTGCCCTTTGATACACTAAACTAATTTACAAGAATGAAATGATTAAAAAACATATTGAAATCTATTCAGGCACACGTTTTCTCCACAGTCAACCCCAATCAACAATGTTGACTCCCTGCTCCATGGCTGATCTTAATTGTTTGCCCAAACCGCCTTCCCTACATTGCTCATATTTCCCGGATGTACGTGAAGGCAGCATTAATCACAACGGTAGAGGAGCGCTTGAATTAGTGCCTCACCGGGTAATGTCTCATCAGAGGACAGGACGGTATCATGAGCGGAAGAAGTCTGGGTTACGATGGTTTGTGAGCAATTGAAAGGGTGAGAGGCTCTTCACGTGTGTGGTGGTTTTAGATTAGATTTAGCCTTTAGTTGAGTGTTTTTTTGAAACCTAGAGTACGTTTGACTTTTTTTTCCAAAAAAAAAAAAAAAAAAAAATCCCCTGGTAGTTTTAGCTTCTCGGGCAGTCTGTGGTAGCACAATGACACTGGTGTGTTTTAATTTTGTGCTGGAATAGCGAGACATGTGCGGCAGAAAGGCTGCGTCTCGTCTCGCCTAAAAGCAGCCGGCGGCCGCTCAGCAGCAGCCGGGACCGTCGGGACCGGACATTTTTTGCAAAGACAGACTCCAGACGAAGAAGACGCAACATGTTTGAAGCCTCAGGGATTCCTCTCATCCTGTTGGACATTACCTGCCTCATCCTCGGTATGTAAACCTAATCCTCTGATTTGTTAATCCCTCTTGTTTGTTTCTAAAGTGGGCTACAGACTTTCTTTTACATTATTATCAAACAGAAATGACAGGACCTCTACATGACTGATAGACATGTATTATAGGCCTTACGTAGTTGTATAAGCATATCAATTCAAATGATTCACATAAACGTCATAAAAACACGCATGGGAAGGCTTGAGGTTGAGGGAACCAGGCAGGAAAATGGAAAAAAAGGGCAACAAAGTCCCACCCTGTGTATGTGTGTTTTTCCAAGCAAAGCTGTATTTTTAGCTCACTGTTTGGAATGTAATCATAGCAGAGACAAGCAGCAGCAGCACTACAAAATATATCTGACAATGCTCCAGTGATACTGACACAAAAGACATTAAAAAAGATCTGTATCATAGCTGTAATTATTTATTTTAAATCCGAGTTTTGCACTTTTTGGGACAATCCGAGAGTTCAGTTTGATAGCTGCCAGGTTTGATAAGGATTTAGACAAACGCAGCTCCAGACAATCCCTGTGATTAATCTGCGTTCACTGTCTTGTGATTGGCCTCGCTGCTGACTGTACGCGAATTTTCTCATTTTGTTTTGGAGCTGGCAGCAACCATGACTAATCTCCCATTACAGCCCCATGTCTTCCTAGGCTAAATCAAAGTCTAGTTTATTTGAAGTCCTTCTTTTATTCTCAGTGAACTCTAGGTTGTACAGTTTGTGCTGCTGTTGTCTTGGTCTGGACACTTCTTCAAAATCAGTAGTAGATGAAGCAGTCCGTTGTACTTTGCTGATGTAACAGTAGACATACCACCATGTAGAAACACTGCAAGTAAAAGTCCTGGATTCAAAACTGCACTTAAGTAAAAGTACAAAAATACTTTTACTCATCACATGATGACAGGATTCCGTTTTTGTTCTTTTTCTCAGATATATCTTAATGTCGGACAGTGAATGGATGTCCTTTTCTTGATAAAAGTTGGTGGACTGTGTAAACACTATAGGGACATTAATGTGTATAAATCCAGGACTTTATAATTTTATCCATGACACAGTCTGATATGATGGACTTTCATAAGTATATTAAAATGTTGTCGATAAACTAAACCAAACCAAGCCAAAACACATAATACTTTTGCAACAACTGCAGCATAAAGGGGATTTGGAAGTACTCATGCAGACAATGTGCAATCAATAATTAAATACTTACATATAATCTAATCAAACAAAGAAACAGTGGATATTATTTAACTGTTATCATACTTCCTCCTACTCATGCTCTTGTCTTTCTTGGTGATTATCTTGGACTCTTTTTTAGGCAGAAGACAGACTCATCCCAGTTGAAGTAAATAGTATTTTGAAAGATTAACTGCATGATCAAATGAGCATAAAGTTTCAGTTTATTCAGAATTTCGAAAGACACCAGTCAGTGTAATTTGCCCTGCAGTAGTTTTAAACAGGCCTTTACAAAGCTCTGTGACTGTGTCATAACTCATTTAGCCCGAAAACAGCAATACCAGTAATCATACTTGGAGAATGCCCAGCAATGCATTACTGACTCCACTTCATCCATCCGTCATGTATCTCATCTCAGTTCGGTTTTTCTAATATTCAGAAAAGCTGCAAATGAAACAAATTGTGATGGGATGGAAAAAAACTATTTGTAAACACAGCAAGTCAGAGCATGTTTTATGTGTTTTGATGGTGATTCCTGGACTGATTAACATTGTACCTTCATTTTTCCACTATCTAAAGTTAAACATGGAGAATGACTTGAATACCAGCAAGATTGTATTACTACAGCATGTTCCCCTAAATTCTCATGCTTGCTTTTTGCATATGGGGTTTTATTCAGTTGTTGTGTAACTTTATGTCCTTGAGCAAGATAAATTTTGCATGCAGCAGATTGAAACGCACAAGAGCAATTTCTGAACAAAACTCAACAAAAAGGTTTTCACACAGTTACTTCCCCTCTTTCTTAAGAGGAGAGCTTCCTGTGTTCTCCTAACATGTCAGGTTTCCTAATGTGACTAAATAATAACAACATAAGCATTGTGTAAAGTAGCAGTGGATCATCAGCCTGACTCACATGAGTATTTCCAGTTACTTGTGTACCTTGATGTACATTTTGATGATATGAAGTGGAAGACAAGCTGAAATCTGTCAATGAGGTGTCATTTATAAACATTATCTGCCTCTCTTCATTTTAACAGTTGGACTTCCATTTTTTATTCTCACCCCACAACACAACCCTTTCAAACGGGGTTTCTTCTGTAATGATGAGTCCATCAGATACCCTCTTAAAGAGGACACAATATCCTACCAGCTGCTGGGAGGAGTCATGATCCCCTTCACACTGATCGTGGTAAGTCAACAGTCTGCTACATCCGAAAGACCTTTAAATGTCACTGCAAAAAGAAGTTCAGCTGTATTGTTTGTCATCTTGAATTTGGCCAAGCAGTGTGAGTGTTGACTTGAGAAAAAGGTTACTATTGTTGTTGTTCTTCTGTTACAGATCGTATGTGGCGAGTGCCTTTCCGTTTACTTGTCTCGCATCAAGAACCAGTCTTTAGGGACCAAGTATGTGGCGTGTGTCTACAAAGCTGTTGGGAGCTATGTATTTGGAGCTGCTGCCAGCCAGTCTCTGACAGACATAGCAAAGTACTCCATTGGTCGACTGCGGCCAAACTTCCTGGCTGTATGCAAACCAGTCTGGGATCGCATCAACTGCAAAGCTGGTGGATACATTGAGAACTTCACCTGCACTGGAGACAAGTTCCTGGTAGATGAGGCCAGGTAATGGTCCTGAACATGAAATCCGCAAGCGCATTATAAGCATTGTGTAACAGTTGCAGTGGGTAATCTCACTGGGTGGATCCTGATAATCCAATGACTGAATATAAAGATGGACGACATGACAACTCCTTGAAAGTGAAGCCAAAACTCTTGATTACCCCCTGGTGGCTGGCTGCAGTATAGGTCATAAACGACCTCCACATTAGTGGAGCAGACATTAGCAATAGTATAGGTCAAATGAATTTCTCCCAATGATGGTTTCCATCATTTTAGCTAGTTCTTATTACACTGATGTATATTCAAGTGTTCATTTTTCTGATAAGTTTGGTTTTTATTAGTTATTTGAACGACAGCTGTGATTGACTCGCAGTTGAGTCGGGCTGGTGTATTGGCGGTGCCTCAATACCGCGGCTCCACACTCTGATCCCTACTGTGCAGACTCTGCCTCCAAATGACATCACCAGCGCAAAATGGCAGCACCTGTGTCCAGGTATTTTGGCTTCGTTTTTGTACAGTGGGAGGAAGTGGAGACGTGTCGTCCATCTTTATCTACTGGGATAATCCAAGAGTGCCCAGTTGCTTGCAGTACAATGTATATCAGCACGGTAGAGTGTGATTTTGATAGATCTTGCATTTTGTCATGAAAAGTGACTTGATTAAGGTGACTGCCTAATTTCATTCAATATCTCTTGTTTGTCTTTTGTAGACTGTCGTTCTACTCTGGCCACTCATCCTTCTCTATGTACTGCATGCTGTTCCTTGTAGTAAGTACATATTTTCCTCTTCAAAAACCATCTATAGCCAAAATTTGACTTACATACGAGTAGCAGAAATGCTCAAAAAATGTTAATGCTAATATATATCTGCTTTACTGTCTATACCTGGTTTCATGAGCTAATAACTAAAAAAATCTAACTACATAAGTCTTTTCAGCAAGGGTATTAGCTCCCAACATGTGTATTGTAAATATTGGCTTGGACAATATAAACTGTGCTGCGTGACCACAACATGCTTTTTTGTTTCTAATGTTGATTAATTTTCTCCCTCTTACTGTAGCTATACATTCAAGCCAGACTGAAGTCAGAATGGGCGAGGCTTCTGCGTCCCACCATCCAATTCTTCCTGATTGCAACTGCTGTGTATGTGGGTCTATCCCGGGTGTCTGACTACAAACATCACTGGAGTGACGTGCTTGCTGGCCTCCTGCAAGGGGGTCTAGTGGCTATTTTCACAGTAAGTTTAATTTAAAGGTCTATTCGGATAATAGCAAAGCAAGGCCCTGAATTCTTATGCAGCATTGCCACAATATGCAATTGAAAAAGTCAAATAAATTTATTTAGAAAGCATATTCAGAAAGAACTCATTGACCATGTTTGCTTTTAAAAAGATGTTAAATCCCTGAGCATGCAGTTTTACACTTTTGTTTCCCCCTGAGTAGCTTTAAGGTTAGAAAATCATCTTACTGTGTCCCACACTGTCTAACACTGTTATATGAATAATATTTACAGTAAAATGAATTCTATTGTTTTTTTTTGCAGGTGTTCTGTGTGTCCAACTTCTTTGAACAGCCAGTGGACGCGGTGGTATCCCAAGAGGAAGAAGCCTCACCAACCAGTTTAGGGGAAAACCCTTCCACTATGAACCACTATGGTAGCACTGACTGAATCTGAGGCCTCAAAGACAATTCTGTGTAGGGCCTCTGTCACTTAATATGGCCAGAGAGGACCTAAAACACATCAATGAATTGCAAGTCTTCCATATTAACTGCTGGCTGTTCCTGTGCATTTAATCAACACAGTTTACCCCATGGAGCCAACGCTGGAGCCTGCAGGCTTAACCTGTTACCTTTGGTGTGGTCAGTAAACTTTGATTACAGCAAGAAAGTGTACTACATAAGACAGTATTTGCACTTTACTGAGATATAAAGAAGCAGAAGTTTCTGACAGGTTTTTGGCTAAATACAATTTAATACAGTTAATTATGGAATGACAAAACAAAATACAGTTGTGCATGTTGGGTTGAACTTAGAGGGAAAAAAAGCATTTTACAGTGTAAGCTTGTTGGAAATGTGGTTTCCAGTGTATATTGGTCTGATGTTGCCATTTTGAATGAATGAAATTCCTTTTGCCCAGAATATAATGAGCGTCTGTGTGCGCACTGCAAGCAGGCTTGTAGAGAGCCTGGCACCTGTGAATAAGAAAACCTGGACTGTCCTTAAACTTAAAATGGAGCCTGAACTCATAAATAATATATTTTATGTTAAATTCTTCGCCATAGTCAGATTGCTGCTACCTGCTGTTGTGTCCCATACCTGATGTTATTTTATTGTAATGTATGGAAAATACAGTGAATTCACTTTTGTTTGTTTTTACTATTTGTATGAAGCTCTATATGTTTTTGTCCATGCAAAAGCTTTAAACAGTATTGTTTAGAGCAGGACTGGGAAAAAATGAGACGAATAAAGTGAGCTCCATTTTGCAACTTTGATACAAATGAGAGAAATGATTCCTGTGTGTTTTGTCTATAGAGAATACAAGGCATATATAATGAAAGTGAATGGTAAAAGGTTCCCGTTTTACATAATGTGTAGACTCATTTGCCGCAGTAGAATCATTTGATTTGTGTTTTTCCAGTAAATACACAGACTGCAGAGTCAGGTATTTAGGCAAGGAAGAGAAACCAAGAGTGTGAATCAGAAACCAAACTGTCTCAGAAATGCAGACCTGAAAGAAAGGTTTCACCATACAAAAGCCCAATTTCAGTGGCTTTGTTTGTATAGACAGACCACAAGCATGCAAATGTAAGGATGCCTCCTCTGACGTCAGTGGAAAAACGTGTTTGTTTGTTATCACGGGTATCATGGATATGAAGGTTAAGCACCAGTTAGCACATTAACAAACAGACTAGCATCGCACACTCTTGCTGCTTCTAAGGTCACCTCGTCTTCACCCACGGAAAGTCCTGTCAGCAGAGAGGCGCTGATCCTTGGCTGTGACTGCCCAGGTTAAGGATCTGCTTTAGACTTTAAATCCTATTAAAGTGGCTGAGAGATCAAGGCTAAAGAGAAGTTTAACACAGTGACAACAACAATAAAGCACACTGATCAATTTCAACTTTAGTTTATCAACTATCTGTAGCTGTTTGGTCTGTCATCTTGAACATGAATAAGCTGTCATCAACATGAATAAGCAGGTTGAACTGCTACATGGAGTAGATGATCTAATTAGACTTTGTCTTGCTGCATACATTTTCATATTAATAAACTTCTGATAGTACTCTTGATGACAAGGTATTGCGAGCATACCTGTTCCTTTGTCATGGAGACCATGGTGAGACATGAGGCAATCCAAGTGTTTCTTTTTTAAATCTTCATTTGCCTCAGACAGCTATTGTCTAGCTTGATTAGCAGTGAACTGATTACAGGGAACCTAAATTCTACTAAAATATAAATCATCCATCATGAAACACCTTTAATAAAAGATTACCTAAAGATAAAGCTTGAACATGGCTATTTGCACACTATTTAAAAGATGTCTGTCAATATTTGCTTGGTCAAAGATATGACAAAATGGTGGCTATAACAACTTCAACAGTAACTTTTGTGGAACGCAGAAAAGGTTGAATATTCAACTTAAATTTATGGTAGTGATGTTCAAAATACTTGATTTCATTTGTAGGTATAACTAACAGACTACTAACCTGGTCCCATTTCCCATTTCAGTCTCTAACTTCAACTTGAAGACGAACTCCAAACTGCTCCCTGAATATGTGAGCTTTCTTTCACCCTATTGAAACCTTGTCTACCTTGTCTGAAACTCAGGTTTTCCTCAGTTTCAGTTCCCATTAAGATTCAGTCACTCACTTGTCAAGCCGGACATTCACAGACAGTCACGCATACATCAACATGTAATTTTCAGGAATGTGTTGATGTGACCACTATTGAGCAAATTTGATTTAGTAGCATAAGAGCACTTCTTTGTTCACATTTAAGATACATTGTCAAAGGATTTGATGCACAGTGCTACCATAGAGAAACATGAATAGGTATTTTGTAGATTCCTTTTCCAGCACAGTACCACTTTCTGATAAGGTGCCATTTACAAACCCTTTCTAAAATGGCTCTATCAATGATTTATGAATTGTTTACTAATGCTTTACAGATGATTTATGAGCCATTAATAAGAAAAAATTTTGGGTTGCCAAGTTGTGGAAAATCCACCTCCAACATAACTATCACTTAAATTAATATGGTAGACCCTTCCAGTCACAAATTTTACTTAGCCATTAATAAAGGGTAAGGGGCTTCTCAGGCTGTAAAATGCCATCAGAAAAAGTTAGTCAGTGATCTATAAATGTTAATAAATGATTAATAAAGGTGGTACAATAACACACCAACTCTGTAGTTATAGTTATTAATAAGCTGTTAGATTGTAGTGCAAATGTCCTGTAACCCTTTTCCAGCAACCCAAAAGTTGTTCTTATTGATGGCTTATAATTGATCTATAAAGCATTTGTAAATGACGCATTTATCATTAATAAATTCATTTATGTTCATCTTAAATACATGGTGACTTATCAGACAATGGTTCCCCCAAGCTTTTTAATTTGAAACTGTAGGTATGCATGCTATGAATAAAGAGATAATAGAGATTGCAAGAAACTACTTAAAGAAAAGACACTACTACCAAACTATGTTAAGATGTATCTTGTATATATCACAAAGGAAGTTAGAAACATGAATACTTCAAAGACACTGCATCATGATTCCAAGTCTGTTTAGCCAGTGAAAAACTGCTCAGCTTTTACTTTCCAAACGTCTGAAATCTGACCAATCATGTTGCCTGTTGCTCCACAGAGCTCTCTCTTGTTGTCACGCTGACCTCGACAATAGTTGCTATTGAGAGCAGCTCCATTCACTCTCAGTCACATGTCCCACTTTATTGCCAAGCAGTGATGCTGCTGAACAAATAAGCAACTCAGAGTCTAGTGTGCAATGACAGCTTTTAAAGAATTGTGACTGAAACAATTATCTTATTTCACTAATTTAATTTTCTTTACACTATTATGTTCCTTACACACACTTCACTTAAGACAATGACATGATAACCCCATACAAGGATCTGTCTGGCTCCCATGAGGCAATAAGAAAAAAAAAAAAAGTAAACAATGGATTCAAACAGGGCCCTAAGTGGTCTTGAACTTGGCCTGGGAGAGAGTAAAGTTTAAAGTTTCAGATGGAATAATCCAGAGAGAAGTACTTGACTTGATAGCTGTATCTGTTTCACGTTGTTCTTGTATTAGATGACACCAACAAATAGAGATTTTGTACTTCGGGGCCCAATAGCGACTGGCAAAATTGGGCTTGGATTTGCAAGACAAATGGTGGGTAGGATTTCATGGTAGGTTGATATTGAGTGACAGTAACATTAGCTGCTAATTCTTGCCATCACAAATGAAATGTTGTTGTGAATACATTTCCTATTAAAATGAAGCGTTGTATATAACTTAAGATGCTAAATTTGACCTCAAACAATTTAAAAATAATAAATAAAATAAAATAAATTTTAATATCTAGATAAAATATAATATTTTCAATAACATTAACTGCTAACTTTGGCCGTCACAAATCTTTACATCTCAAAATCTTGACTTTTTTTCTCAGGATTCTGAGATTAAAGTCAGAATTCTAAACTTTCACATGTGGCCCTAATCCTAATCCTCTACCGTACCATAGTTACCCAGAGGAGGGGTTATTTTTTAACCCACCAATTGTTTGATTGTACCTAACCATTGTGGGTGCCTCTAGCAACTCAGGCCAAATACAGAGACTCATGTTTAAATAGCAGTTGCAACATTGAGTGATGTACTCATTATTGCATAATAATAATTATAATCCAATAATATCCATTATTTTGAAATTGGCCTTTCTGCATGATGAGTAGTTTTAGATTTGGTACTTTAAGTATATTATGACAATAATACTTTTGTACTTTTACTCAAGTAATATTTTTGATTGCATAACTCTTACTTGTAGCAGAGTATTTCTCTACTGTGGTATTGCTATTTTCACTTATGGAAGAGACCTGACCACTTCTTCCACCACTGACGTTTAATCTGAGTGGCTCAGTCTTCTGTAGTGGGATCTATCTCCACCTGCTGGCCATGAATGGTATAAAGGTTGCACTAAATGATCTTAAGCTGCAGTATATGCTTTAAAAGTATCAGGTTGCGTGTTTAGAAACTGAGCTGAGACTTTTTTTGATAATTGATTAATTTTTCAGTTTCAGTTTTCAAGCAAAATGACAAAACACTCACCGGTTCCAGCTTCTCAAATGAGGAGAAATTCTGATGAGCATTTTTTCACTTCATGGACAAAATAACTAGCAATTGAAATAATATAAAGTAATAAGCTTTAGTGATGTCCCTCACTTGTAAATCGCTTTGGATAAAAGCATCTGCCAAATAAGTAAATATAAATTAGTTGCAGCCCTACTTGGACATTCTCAATCATCTTTTATGGAAAACATACAAAAGCCTCAATTCCTTTTCAAATATATAAAGTGCATAAAAATGCACTGTAAGTTATGGAATGCAATATAGATTTGAAGACGGAGATCAAAACACTATAAATATTCTAAAGGTCTCAACAAGACATAAGACAGGACAATGCAAGATGGATTTGATTTGTGACCGAGTCACTGAATTTATTACCGTAGTATCAAACATGTCACACCATCATCTCAAACATAGTTGAGAAACTAGGCTTACACTTCACTCTTTTCATACTCTGAATACAGTGAAGAGCAAACCGATACTTGTCAAGTCAATCTAAACCCATTAATTTATCCTCTTGGACATAATGCTCTTATGAACAACTCAACAACAGATGAGTCTTGTATGTGCATTGTTACCTTTACATTTTGGTACAATGAAACAGTCCGACAAAAATTCAAAAATGCATTCGATGTGTTTAAACAAAAGTATTGTTTGTTTTTCTCACTAGTTATTTTTCTTCTGCCACTGGTGAAATCTGCTCAGAGGGCTCCAACCTAGACACTAAACTTACTGCGGTTAAGCCCACAATCAGAACAATTTTACAGCACAGTAGGGTTGTAAAATTTTATTTGGAGAAATCTGTACATGGAGGTTTTGGCCTTCAGTGTGTTCACACATATATATATATATGCATTAATGGGGACACAAACAGGTAGCTCACTGAAGAACAAGACAAGTGCTATCCATTACTCGAAACTGGACAGGAAGGTCAGTACAATCTGCTTCAGTTTAGCGTCTGATGTCTCTGAGATCTTGCCATCAGCCCTGAAATACAAAGCGGGCAAAGTCAAATGAATGTCATTTAAAATCAATAAATACCCATGTTAACTTGTGGTCCAAGTGTGTCGAGAGTCATTCAAAGATATTTCGGCAAAAAAAAAAAATAAATAAATAAAAATCTCACCTGATTGCGGCGAGCAGTTCCTGGTGCTGGCTGAGGATGTGCTGCAGGAAAGCCTTCTCAAACTTTGTGATCTTGCTGGGCTCCATCTTGTCCAAGTGCCCTCTGACACCGGCATAGATGACTGTTACCTGCTCCTCAATGGCCATGGGAGCTGGAGCAAGGTCAGAAGCAGTTTAATGGTCTAAATTTGCTTTAAGAGACATGCAAAACCAGCCAAACATTTCAATTTTATAATTTCCTTGAAATTTAATAGTTGCTGTTGCAAAATGTATTCTGAAGAGGAAATTGTAAAAAACAAACACACACAAAAAAAAAACAAACACTCACAGTACTGTCCTTGCTTCAGCAGTTCAGTGAGCCTGACACCCCTGTTCAGGAGCTGCTGGGTGGCAGCGTCCAGGTCAGAACCGAATTGAGCGAAGGCAGCCACCTCACGGTACTGAGCCAGCTCCAACTTCATGGTACCAGCCACCTATGAGGTAGAAAGAAAATAAATATAAAATGTTAGAAAATGTTTGTGACTGTAGCCTCCTACTTGATGAATGCTTTTTTAAATTTGAATGTAGAGACTGCAGATGCCTGGTTTTAAAAAACAAGTTTCCAAGCCAGATGTTACCTGCTTCATGGCTCTGGTCTGGGCAGCAGAGCCTACTCTGGACACAGACAGACCCACATTGATAGCGGGACGGATACCCTTGTAGAACAGCTCAGTCTCCAAGAAAATCTGCAGCAAACAGATCAAGATAGCCAGTATAACAATAGCTTTATACAGAACATTTTATGAATGGGGCAAACCACTATCAAGACCAGCTGAGGACAACTTCAAGACAAACCTGTCCATCTGTGATAGAGATGACATTGGTGGGGATGTAGGCAGACACATCACCGGCCTGAGTCTCGATGACGGGGAGGGCAGTGAGGGAGCCGCCACCAAAGTTGTCGTTCATCTTGGCAGCTCTCTCCAGCAGACGGGAGTGCAGGTAGAACACATCACCAGGGTAGGCCTCACGACCAGGAGGACGACGCAGCAGCAGGGACATCTGACGGTAGGCAACAGCCTGATAGAAGGGGAAAAGTTAATTGACTGAGGCTGCACTTAAGAATACTGTTTAAATTTCCTTAGTGATACTCAAATATTTTCCAACTTTTGTTGACTATAATTACAGGAAACCTTTATTGATTTTTTTTTATATTGTGATTTCAAGCTACAAATTGAATTTTTGTTGTGTCACTCTCCCACAGCAAACTTATCCTCACCTGCTTGGACAGATCATCATAGATGATCAGGGCATGCTTGCCATTGTCTCTGAAGTACTCTCCCATGGAGCAGCCGGAGTATGGGGCCAGGTACTGCAGGGGGGCAGCATCAGAGGCAGTGGCAGAGACCACAATGGTGTACTTCATGGCATCAGCGTCAGTCAGCCTCTTCACCAGCTGAGCCACAGTGGACCTCTTCTGTCCGATGGCAACATAGATGCAGTACAGCTTCTTCTTCTCATCAGTTCCATCATTGAAGCGCTTCTGGTTGATGATTGTGTCAATGGCAATGGCGGTTTTGCTGGAGAGTGAAAATGCCCAGTTAGTTGAAAGAATATTCAAAGCCTTTAAAGCTATAGTCTCTCTTGATTAATGATAGTGTGCCCAAATCACAGCAAAAACATTTCCCCATTACTGAGCATTTACCCAGTCTGCCTGTCACCAATGATCAGCTCACGCTGGCCACGGCCAATGGGCACCAGACTGTCCACAGCCTTGATTCCAGTCTGCATGGGCTCCCTCACAGAGATACGGGGGATGATACCAGGGGCCTTCAGACCCACACGCCTACGGGTCTGGGAGCCAAGGGGACCCTGAGAGAAGAAGTATTTTTAAGATTTGCTGTTATATGAATATTTTAAATGGTCAATAAATCTATTCAGTGAAAACAAGCAACAATTCTGATATTCATTCTTTTTTTCTTAAATTGACAGCTGACATTCTATTTTATAACTGGTGTTCAGGTAATCAATATGCAGCTATTAACCTAACTAACTTATCTAACCAGAGAAAAAAAAAAAAAGAGCAAGAATTTTTCAGGTTCTTCATTTGTTGACTCTTTCCCACCACACAAGTCGATGCTTACCAATATGGAGACAGTGGACATTTGTCATTTGTGTTTTAACCAAGCCTATCCAAGACTGGTGTAAATTTTAACAAGAGTTTTTTGTTGATTAACAGACATCAAGTTTGAGAATTAGATTCAGTGGTTGAAAGTAAAAAAAAAACTACATAATATGATAATAAATGAAAGACAGTAATGTTTTAACAACTCCCAGTTAGAAGTCATCTTGAGATCATTATTAAATTTCATCTAGGTTGATTTACTGCTCATTAAAAAAGAAATTATATCTCAAATAACCTTTCCATCAATGGCATTTCCCAGAGCATCCACCACGCGGCCGAGCAGCTCCTCACCAACAGGAACATCCACAATGGCACCAGTCCTCTTCACAATGTCACCCTCCTTGATCAGCTTGTCATTACCGAACACCACAACACCAACGTTATCAGGCTCCAAGTTCAGAGACATGCCCTGGAAGAAAAAAAACATTTTACAACTTGTTAGCAAATTAATTGTTGCTGTTAGTTTAGCATACAAGGCAAAAATAAAAGACAAGTTCAAGACATTGTGTTACTTTCAACCTCCATTTCAGGAAAAAGTTCAACATGTTTTTTGTCGCTTTTCTTTTTGCAGAACAGTGTCCTTTTAGACTTACTTTCAGACCAGAGGAGAATTCCACCATCTCTTCTGCCTGGACATTCCTCAGACCGTACACTCTGGCAATACCATCACCAATGGACAGCACACGCCCTGTCTCCTCCAGGTCTGCAGAGGTGTCAGCTCCCATGATCTTCTCCTCCAGGATGGAAGACACCTCGGCTGTGCCTGTGAAAAAGAAGACGTACAATATGAAACTTCCTTCATTCATGCAAATTATGCAACAAAATCTTGTCTTGGGCAAGATTAATTCTAATTTAAAAAAAAAAAAAAAAAAAAAAAGGAAAACTAAAAGGAAAGAGATCTCTTTACAAGTATCTGGATATGAACCTAGAAAACAATTGGATTTTGTTCATAACAGCATAATTTAAAACTATCTGCATAATGCCCTAAATCATACTACCTGATCAGACATTTAGCCCATTAGACTTCAATCCCATTACACTACATTCTGGTGTCTGTATACTCATATATTTACATTTACAATGTGCACAAATGTTAACTGTTTATCTGTATATCCATAATCTTTATCAACCTATTTTGTACGGTTAAATCTGGACATTTCTTGCCTCCCAGGTTAATCCATTTAACTTGTGGTTTTAACCTTTTGGTTGTATGGTGCAGCTACAATATATGTTTCTCCCTTTGGATAAATAAAGTATCCATTACTATGATACACCATAACTTCAACTTTATGGCCATATTGGAGGCCGCAATTTGTGATGCTGTTGTATTAATATTGTATTGTATTATATGCATTATAAGTACAAGTGTTTCTATTATGTTGTCGACCCACTTTAGAACAAAAGGGTAGGCTAAATAACATACACCATTACATATAATGTAGTTCAACAGCAATACAAACTACACTAACCCGAAAATTATTACACAGAATCAACACCTTTCTTGAACAGTTTCAACACCAACTGAACATTATAACCATCATGAAGCTAGGATTTATTGCAGGACTCCTGTGTTAGACTACATTACTTTTCGCTAGGTGTTCCTAAAAAACGGCTGTTTAAAAGGGAACACTGTGCAGCTGGTTTGTCTTGTCAATGACTTTCGACAAGTACACCTGCGAACGGCTCTTCTGTGAATCTGACATTGCAGTCACCAAGAAAGGCTCAGGGAAACATAGTATCATCAATGACCTTCATCAATCACCTTTGGATGCTGAACAGAAGTGAAGGATAAAGTTTCTGTCGTGTTGTTTTTGGTTTTCTCACCTGTCTTCTGCAGCCATGGTCTGTGTGTGTGGAGGTGGTTGACCCCAACGCAGGCGGCCGGTACAGTCTTGGACACCTGTGTTCAATGGCAGACGGAGTTAATTAAACGTAGATTGCAAGTAAAACTGCACTGAACATATCTGCAGCGACGATTTCTAAAACCAAAGTGCACTTTAATAGCGGAGCTGGTGTAACTTTTTGCGGCGGGGAAGACATCCGCTGTCAGACTTTCTGACCTTCAAAGCGTGGCTGAATGAGCCGTTAGCTGGCAGCTAGCATTAGCTTGCGTGCTAACTTTAGCGTCGCTTGCTGCAGTACGAAGACTGACGCTTCACAAGGACAACTTACACAAACACGTTTAAATAAACAATTTCAAGATTATTAGCACGAAATGTGAACGAGGACAGATTAGTAGCGTTTAGAGTCGCATTCATACGTGGATGACAAGTTAGCTAGGGGCCTGTGACGTTAACATTACCCTTCACGCCCACAAGGTTCACACTGATGATAAACAAACTTCCTGCATCTTTCACATCGCATATAAATTCTTTAAGTAAAATACTTACAAATCCAGCCCTTCTTGGCAGGGTTCTGGCCAAAGCTGCTGCAACTCTCACGGATAGCATTTTGTCGGGTTGCTAATGACCTGTCCTCCACCGCTGCCCGTGGGTGAATGTAATGGCTGAATGGACTCTTCTTCTATTTATGTGACACTGATGTAAAATTTCCTTCTTTACGACTCAACTCTGCCACCTGTCGCCAGGGAGATGACACTGGCCGCTATATTTTTTTTAACTAGAACTTTATTTTGGACAAACCTGGGCCCACATTTAGACTATAAACTACTTAAGCTTAAAAACTATTTATCAAACTTATTCTTACTTGAAAATGCTCATAAACACTTTTTTTTAACTTATTAATTTCTTTGGACATTAAAAGATATAATTGTGCACGAAAGGTAGGAAACTACAAGCTTATACAAAGACCTCTCCTAAAAATTCAAGGCAAGATAAACAGAACTACATTAAATAAAAATAATAAGGGACTTCTACAAAATAAAGGACCACATTAGGAAAAAATACTATACATAACAATTATTTCTCATTCCAAATGTCCAACAGGCAACACTGTTGGGAAATCTGTTTTAAGCTGTTACTTGAAAGAGGGCGGTACGGTGAGCAGTGGTTACACTGTTGCCTCACAGCAAGAAGGTCTGAACCTGCTGGCTGGGGCCTTTCTGTGTGGGGTTTGCATGTTATCCACATGCACATGTGGGTTCCCTCCAGGTGCTCCAGTTTCCTCCCACAGTGCAAAAACATGCATAATTAATAATGATTTATCAACATTAAATTGCAGGTGACTAACTAATGTTTGCTAATAGCTCAATAGAAATTGAGAAATGTAGTATGCGTTATTAATGTCATACTAACATTTATAACTGCAAACCTGATGACTGATTAGAAAATGCAAAACTCTAAGTTCTTATTAATGGTTTACCAACTTTTACATTTGCATGGTGACCCAAAACTTTTTTCTAATTAGTAGCTTATGACTGATCTATAAAGCATATGGAAATTATGTATAAACAATTAACAGATCCTTTAATTACAGCTTATAAACCCTTTAAATTGTGTCTTATCAGAAAGTGGCACCCAGTACACACAAAAAAAGAAAAAACAGCAGTATTTCCGAACTTAAGATGGTGGGCCTTAACTTTGTCGAGTCCTCCATTTCCCATGGTGTAACTCATCACTTTGGACTGAAGTATCTGCCAAATGATCAAATGTAAGTGTGCAACCTAACCCATTTAAAATCCCCTCTCTTAACCTCATTGATGCATATATGAGGAAAATATATTTTTTTAATAATTACAATACAGCCATCAGGTCTCTTTTTCAACAAAACGTTTTCTCTTTCCATATGGATATTTCCCCATAAATAGTTGATCACAAACAAGATAAGGACAGTTTGCAAATTTTGTAAATGTGTTGTAAATGTTCTCGAACTGGAAATGTTCTTGATGCATTTATTATTGTTAATATACACTACTGATTAAGTCTAAGGACATCTCAATTTTTCCAGTTTTTATTGATGTTTGCATAGGTTCTCAGTGTACTCTGAAATAACTCCTTGACAGACACCCCTGCTTTTGTACAGAAGCCTGAAAATAATGCACCAAAATGAAAAAAAGGTTACTGTTCTTAAGCCATAACCCTAGTCCCCTTTGAAAGGTAACTCTTTAACTTTTACAACCAGAGTCAGAATGAATATAAGAGATGATGAACCAAAGATTGAAGATTGTCCAGTAGAGACCAAAACAGTAGTGCTACCACAGCCAAAGCATCCCACTGTTGTAATGGTGTATTTTAAAAGGTTAAAACATAAAACAAATAAATAGTTTGAGAAAAAACGAATCATTAAATGTTTTTTGGTTGTTAAGCCCCAATGAGACAAATTGTTGTTTGTGACATTGGGCTATATAAATAAAAAGTACCTTGACTTGACTTGCAATTTTGTCAATGCTTAAGATTTTTCAAGACTTGCAAATACCCAACTTATTGTATAATACTGTATGTAGGTATGCAAATGGATGGACAAAATATTAAAAGCTGGATATATATATATATATATATATATTGAAACAGTGATGAAAACAAAAAATAGAAGCAAGCAAAATCTGCATATGGCCCTATTAATTCGTGATAAAAAAAAATTGTAAGTATATTAAATGGCTTTGTTTGATTTTTAGGGCTAAACCATATACCTTACATATACCAGTTTTTGATGATAAGGTACCATTTATAAAGCAGATGGATTCATTGATAATTAATGCTTAATTTGAATTCTATTGCTGCAGATAAGATGCAAGTTCAATTGATAACCCACTACTTGATAACCCAGTACTTGATCAATATAAAAAGAACACACTTTGACCGGATTGCGCATGCAATGGTTCCTGATTCTAATTTTCTCAAAATCTAAAGACAAAACAACTTTACGTTGTGAATTTAACTTCAGAGATACTTCCAGCTGGGGTTTGTAGCGCCGCAACATCGCCCTCTTTTGCTCCGGACATCAAATGACATGTCTGCTTTTGTCAACGACAACCAGGCGAGTCAGACAGTCGATCCGTTTGGTTTGCCTGTGGTGCTAGCCAGCCAGCCAGCAACAACCAACCGCCTGAATGTAGATCCGCATGGGCTACTACTACTCTATCTCTCCGAATAACCCAGCGGAATCATAAGATAAGGATCCCAGGATGGTGTTAGTGCATGTCGGATATCTGGTTCTTCCCGTATTCGGCTCAGTAAGAAACAGAGGTACGGTATTAATATTCATATCGATCCAAAACATGTGCCCTGTTTATCTTAATATTCACTGCAGCTGTTGGCTAGCTAGCTGGAGCTTAGCCGTTGGGTTAGCTCGCGTTAGCTAGCTTAATAATTAACGGTCAAATTATTCGCCAAACGTGATACTACTTTAACTTGTATTCATTGGAGTTAATATAAATCACCGAATAATGTAGTTTGCCGGGTGTAATCACGCCTAATTATAAAACAAATACCGCCGCTGAAGATAAGCTAACTGGCTTCTTGGCTCAGGCTATACCTTGGAACGGAAACATTTCTCACAAAGGATTCCACATGCACGGGGCGTGCGGTCAAAACCACATCCCCACATAGACAACCGATTTTAACATGGGATACATTTTATTCGTGCGACTTGTAATTCACTAACATAACGATGCATTGTTATCCTCCCCACCCCCCCAAAAGGCGCTATCCTGTATTTGCACTGTAAAAAATACCGCAAAATAGACGTAGCCTCTCCAGCCAGTCAGCTTATCTGAGCCTGGATGATGTCATTTGAAGATCATCTGCTTCTGCTAGCGCTCGCCGTTTTTTCCACCGTGATTTCACTAATTATTATCCGTGTCAATCGGCCAACGGTCTAATCGATAGATGGCCAATTGCCCGGTGAGCGTGGACTTCTGAGCCATCAATGCATCAGTCGCCCTTTTCTTTTATTTGCTAATTGGCAATTCAGCAGCTGTTTGTTTGAAGCTGCCGAATTGCAAAAAAGACCCGAGTGTGCGGTCACAGTTAAACAATGATAAAGCTACAGTGTAACATTAATTTTATAACAGTGGCATCAGTGATTTCATTGTGCTTTTATTTCTGTTCTTATTTCCCTGTTTCATAGTATGGAGGCTGGCTCTACATTCTGCATTTATCAGATCTTTGTCGTCCCCCCCATTGTGTAGCTAATGATCATCTGCTGCTGTGTGGTGTGGCGTGGCCTCTGCCTGTTCTCTGCATTTAGCTGTATTGTGAATCCCTTCTTCATTTCCTCTTTCCATCAGAAGACGACATTGGTATTAAAAAGCACCCCCTCCCAAGATGTATTCAGCCATAGACTTTCCATGTTAAGCAGACTAAAACAATAGCTAACACCTAGAACAGAGCACCTTTTTGTCTTTTTTTCTGTCAAATTGCTGTAGCACTGAGTTAACATTTTAGCTCCTTTTTAGATATCAGTTGAATGTCATTGTGTACCTCCCATCCAGTCTTGATAGACAACATGCTGTAAATTCCTGTAAAGTGGATACATTTTGCATGATCTCAAATACTGCACTGCATTGTTGAACACCAGAATTTGGCTCATCTTCCTTCTCTTCACACAAGGTGCAATGTACGTGAATGAAATGACCTACGATTAAAAAAAAAAAAAAAAGAAAAGCATGCAAATTGGAACCACGTGCATGCCATTTTTATTGTTAAACTCAGCATTTCAGCAAATGCTGTAACATGATCCCTTGAAATGACTGAAAGTACACTGCACCTGCACACAACAACCTGCCATAACTGTCTCCATTTTTGTGTAATCCTTTTGTTCCCTTTGCAAATTTCAAGCTTCGAATCACACTGAATTGTCAGGGCTGTTTGCCCTTTAATGGGCAAATGAAACCAAACATTTAAGTAAGCAAAACATGCGCACTGGTGGTTCATCACTTCCCAATTTTCCCCACTAACATAAGGCCAAAATGCTATCCATTTCACAGGGATGCCTATTTTCCTGCACTGCTAAAGAGATCCTCTATTAGTAATAACGTCTTTATTGTTTGGTTGTGGTCTCTCTTTACCTTTTGTTCTGGTAATAGTACTTTCAATGCATGGTCACATTTATGATTCATAATTTTTGGTTTTTGTTTTTCTACATTGACTAGTGAAAATCCAATGTAATCTTTCTGTAGTAAAGATGTACCCTGCTGTACTGGAATCATGTGCTGTAGCCAACACGTCTGCTCATTGGATGCCGCTTTTGTTCTTTTTAACCCTATATGGAGCATGGTGGGCCTTGCCTTCAGTCTATGTTGTTTATTTTTGTTGCATGGATTTATACTATTATTACAAACAAATAAGAAAAAAACACAAATTCCACATATACTAATATTTTTCAATAAAGAATATAGTGTTTTTCCTAACCTTCAGTGTGCTTCTTGCTGATTTCCATTTATTGTCCTCCCTCTCCCTTGTCCCTACCTGCCCCCTCTCCACCCCCCACCCACCTCCTCTCCCGCTGTGACAAAGATAGACGATTTCCACGCTTCCTCCATCACAGGGCCCGAATGAGTCTATCTGCTGTCATTCATGGTGATCGTTTTCACTGAGACGCTTGAAAACGCAGTGTGCTACTTAAAGTGTAGACTTGAGCCTTTGACCCATGGCAGCAAGGTCATCTGCTGTCTCCCTAGCTACACTGACGAACTGTTACGCTGAAAATATTGCTGGAAAGTCATGCTGCTTATCTTTCCTGGGTGTGTTTAAAATCATACTGCCTTTCTCAAGCGTACTCCTAGTAAATGCAATGTAGACTTTGCCTATTTCCTCATGATTTAAAAAAAAAAAAAAAAAAAAATTCCTCTGTTTACGTCAGAATTCGTCATGTCTTTTACACTGTCAAAGCAGATTAAACTCAAACCGTATTGGATTTTTGCATCTTCTGTAAGAACTGCACAATTTTAATCTTTAAACTGGCAGGTTTCTGTAAAATTCACTGCTTCAGTTTCTGCCAAACGGACATAACAGAGCACAGCATGTTGGATCCTGCTCCACTGCAAGCCTATTATGGCTTCTTTTGGCCAGGGTTTCCTCAAAAGTTTCTAATCAAAGCTAAATTTGTTACTGCAGTGTCTCAGTCCTTCCATAATCAAAAAGGTCTTTTTTCAGCCCAAAGCACAGTATTAAAACCATATTGCACCACAGCACAAGCTAGCCTGTCTTTTTCTCCCTGTTGAGTCTCGACAGCAGTCTGTTCGCTGCAGTTGCCAAATAGCTGTGGTTGGAGAGAGTAAAAAAAGCATTCAAGCTATTTCCTCTCAACTCCTGAATGTTCATATGGGAAAAGAACAAGTAGCGCTACAGTATACTGTATTTGTAAGACACAAAGAAACAGTTCAGTAAAGGAAAGATGCATAATGTGAATTTATTGCCTGGTGTCATTTTTAAGAAAGAAGGAATTGTTCTTTAAGGTTGTATATATAGAGACTTGGCACCTAAACAGTTTAATGTATCTCTTAACAGACAGCCTGGCACTAAAGGTTTACTTGCATGAGTGCACTGACCTGCTGTCAGCTGCAGAATTTACAAGAACTGAGCTGCGTTGAAGACCACATATTGGTAGATTTCATCTGTTCTGATCCAGTTCGCTTGTCTGTGAATCAGAAGACCAGGAGTCGATCCAGAGGTCGGAAATGCAATTAAAGAAATGAAAGCTCACGTTTTGTGTGCAGGACCGAAAACGGTTGTCATGTTCATGGTACTTGTGGTAACCATCATTTTCCCACCCCCACAGAAGTATTTTTCACCCTAGGTAAGAGGTAGGGCTTCATTAACATGCTATATCACACACAGTGACACCACATTTCACCCACAATTAATTCCAGTTAATCTCTCCCTTCAGGTGCCTGACAACTTCTCCTTATCCTCCACAGGATCCCATTTCAACCGGCAACAGCAACAGCAGCAGCAGCAGCAGCAGCACAGCCATGCTACCTCTTGCCGGCACTTCCAGTTAGGTCCTCAGGCTCCGCTGCCCATGGACTTCCCCATGCCCCACCCAGGGCAGCCACAGTCAGGCATTAACCCCCACCTGGCCCCTCCCGGCCACCAGCATGGCCCTCCGCTCCACCCACCCCTCAATCCCCTGCCCGCTCCCCAGTTCCAGGACATCCCTGCCCCTCCCTTCCTACCTCAGGCATTACACCAGCAATACCTCCTCCAGCAGCAGATCCTCGAGGCCCAGCACCGACACATCCTGCCACCCTCCAGGTATCCACACCGGTGTGCAGGGAAATTTACAGTACATGAAAGACAAAAGACAAAATGTTTAGTTTTCAGTTATGGTTCAGTCAGACTGTTCAGGGATTATGATTTTGCAGTGGCATCATATCAGGCAATGTCTGTTTCCTGTGGGGAAAAAAAAGTGATGTTTTCAAATGCTTGGTTATTTGTCTTAGTAGACGCACCCCAGAGAGAGTTCCTCACCAGCCCCACAGATTGCGGCCCGGGTACGAGTTTGCTCCCCCACTTCATGTCCCCCCTCAGCCTGTGGTGCAGCAGCCACGCTACCTGGCTGAGGGCACAGACTGGTAAGCAGTATGCCTCTGATTATACACTATCCAGTGCCACAGAGGCAAACAGCTATTTTTTATTTGTTAGAAAAGCACATTGTCACTGTTATTTGTCAATAGAATTTGTAACAAACATTGTACACTCTCATTAAATGTAACATTAATGCAGAAGCAGTTTCTTAAGTAATAATGGAATATTTTTTTAGTTTCACAGTAGTTATTTTTTGTAATGCTAGAGTAAAACAAAAGTTAAAACAATCAAATATATAAAAGAAAAAAAATGAAAGAGAGAAAGAGAGCTTAATATTATGACATGTCTGACTGGAAAATATGTGGAAGATACATCATACATCCACCATTTCTGGGAATTCTACTGGAAAAAAAGGATTTATTTTTTAAAATCACAGCCGAGGTCAAAAGTAAGTTGTAAAATAGATGCCAGACATGTTGGAAACACTGTGTCTTTTGATGTAGATCACTGATATTTTTTTTGGAAATGTCAGAAAATAATTGTGTTTTGGGAAATGGTATGTAAAGTGTTCCAACAAGTTCTTGGTTATTAAATCCCTGAGTTGTATGGTGCTTTATCTCTGTAATTTCTCTGAAGAAATTCTATTAGGAAGCAGTAGATATTTGATCTAAATAGCCTTGTATTAATAGAAAGTAAATAAGCTGGAAAAGTAGCTCCCTATGTGTATGTACTGTGAATAGTAGTTGTTGAAGAAATGTTCTGATGCACTTCTTGACTACAATGAGCACGACCTGGTGAAAACGTGCACAAAACCAGGTCCAACTGGACTCAAGTACTGCAGCTTCAAATAGCTGAAATCAAGCTAGAACTCAAACTCAAAAACACAAAATGGTGAAATCAAAAGTGATTTTTGGACACAGCCTACGACTTGTGTGTCACTGACTGACTTGTTTTCCGGTTTCTGTCCAGGGACCTAAGTGTAGATGCTGGACTGCCCCCCCACCAGTATCACATCCATCCGCTGCCGCAGCACTATCAGCACTACTTGACCTCTCCTAGGATGCACCACTTCCCAAGAAACAATGCCTCAACACAAGTGGTGAGCCTCCTCCTCCTCAGTACAATCAATCATGCTTGTCTTGATGAACTCCCAGCGATTCTCCTATGGATTTCGGTTTCTGAGACTAATCTCGATACCTAGCAACCTGGGGTGACCTGTTTTCTTTTCCTGATGTCTGCTGCAGAGCTGATGGTTGCTTCTTTTATCTGTCATCTTCCAGGTTGTCCATGAGATCAGAAACTACCCATATCCCCAGCTGCACTTGCTGGCTCTGCAGAGTCTCAACCCCTCCCGCCATGCATCTGCTGTTAGAGAGAGCTACGAGGTTTGTGCTGCCACTTCCTTTCTCTCTCTCCTTAGCAGACACACCAGTCTACACAAATTTATCATTGTTTTCTCTGTGACCAATGCACTGGACAGGCTTGAGTGTGTAACTGATTTTCTTATTTCCAGTTACTCTGGGTTCCAGATGCCTCAAATGGTGCAGCAATCTTTAATCTCATGACATTTGTTTTCATTTGAACAAGATGCAATTGTTTTCTGAGAGGCTCTTTCCTGTTCTTTGAAGCACCAATTTCATTATATCACAATGGTCCACATATTTGTCTTTTGCATTTGAATATTTTTTACACAAATGCAAATATTGTAAATCTCTGCAAGCATTTACAAACAATCATTTTCTCCTGTATTTAACCAGAATTAAAAGACATGCCCATGTGGTGTTTCCTCTGTAGGAGCTTCTGCAGCTGGAAGACAGACTGGGCAGTGTCAACCGTGGGGCGGTCCAAACCACCATAGAGAGATTCACTTTTCCCCATAAGTACAAAAAGGTAAAATGGTCAGCTTTCTACTCTCTAGCCAAGTGGTAAATCTATTTGATGTGGTGTGTGGTACAGAAGAAGCAGTGGGCAAGAAATAAATTGAGCTAGATGTGAAAGACAGGAATGGGAAAGGGCAGCACTTGCTCGAGAGGATCAAAGAGTGAAGACGAGAGTTGTAAGGGGGTCACGACTCTCCCAGTAGTTCAAGGGTCAAACTAATTTCCGTTAGCAGATTAGTGAGACAGGTCTGCAGTGTGCACAATTCAAGGCGAGGGATGACTCATCCAGCTGTCTGCAGATATGTGCGTGGAATGAATTTGAAAAACCGTCTGCACTGAATATGACCCAGATACTCTGGAAGGAGTGTCAGATCATTTGGTACATTGTGAGTGAGAGGAAGTAATTGAGTCTTTTCCATCTGATGTCTATTTTTTTCTCTCTGGGAAGCATGATTAGGTGACTCTTTTCTTCTTTTCTTGGCTGACTCAGAGACACCCATGGCATAAACATAACACGCAGCTGCACGTCACGCTTTAATAATTTAAGTCTGTTTGCCTTTCTCTCTGCAGAGAATACCCCAGGACTTGAAGATGTGTCTGGATGATGAGGAGCTGGACACAGATGAGAAGTGTACCATCTGTCTGTCAATGCTGGAGGATGGAGAGGATGTCAGGTAAAACCATCTATTTATCTTTTGCTTTTTCACTGGCAAAAAAGCTGGTTATACAAATGTGAATATAATAGTTGTACATACAATTTACTGTCCCCTGGGGGATTTGTTGTACCTGTCCTGCTCCTCAGCTACATGCAGTTTTTAGCTAACGACACGGCTCTCTGGATGGTCTGTCAGTCGGTCCAGCAGCTATTTAATTGATTGCTAATAAACTTTGTACATACATTCATGATCCCTAGAGGATAATACTACTGACTTTGGTCATCAGGACCTTGGATTTTAGTGAAATGTCTTGACATATACTGGATTGATTGCCATGAAATTCTGTAAAGATACGCATGGTTCCGAAACCATTTATCCAACAGACTCTTGTGATCCCCTGACTTTTCCTCGAATACCACAAAGAGGTTTACATTTGTGTATTTTAGCGAAATGTCCTGACAACTTTTCGATGGATTGCCATGAAATTTCAGTGCTCAGTTTATTGGTAATTACTAGATCTTCCTCCTGTTTCTTGCCTGGTGAGGATTTAGATTGAAATGAGACTGAAATTATGTGATGTCTCATTTCCTCAGCGTGTGGACTTGTGTTGTGATTAAAATGTACTTTTAAGGTTGTTTGGGAAAACCTCCCCCTCCCCAGGCAGCACTTTTCCTACTGATTAGACATTAGAGAAACGTCTTCACATTTCCTAATTTAAATACATTCACAATGCTTTCTGTCAGAACGGACACGCAGCCATCGGGTCTCAGCAGTTTTTAACCCTAAATTGGTTCTGCCACGTAAGTTCAAAGCATCAGGTCCAAAAATCCTATTACGGGATTTCCTCCAGCACCTCATCTTGAAAATACTTCCAGAAGGCAACATTAGCATTTCGCACTTTTTATGATGTGTGTCCAGTGTTGTGATCTGTCTAACTGGCTGTGTGGCAAAGCAAGTTTATTTTACTCTCTGAGAAAGAAAAAGGAGGCACGAATAAAAAAGCAAGTGAAAACCTTTCTAGGGTCTGATGTTTCTAGATCAGTGATATGTTAAGCGCTCAAGGGAAATGTTCAGGGAGACTGTACACATAAATTCTTAGAGGTAAGATATAGCGCTACATCTGCATGCCAAATATATTGTTCATGCAGCCTGTTACGATGGGATATCCATAAACTGTCTGTTCTTCCAAACATTCATCATTCATGCCTGTTCTAGGCTTTGTCTAGTTCTTCTAAGTTACAGTCAGATAAAAAACACAACTGTATGAAGAGCATGTGTCTTTGGTTACACCTGGACCCAAAATGCATCTTAGGTGATATAATCATAAGTGGACAGGTGTAAATACACATGGAAATGCATAACAATGCATTGAGACATACTTCGCCATCAATGCACATGTGATCGCCACCGCACATAACCAAGGAGAAAATGTGGAGGGCATGTGGAGTTGAAAGAATCTGATTTATGAAGGTACAATAACCAAACAAGTGTCCTGTGATCCTTGCAAGGCAATCACAATCAATCAAAAAATATGTCATAAATGAATATGATGAAGCCTATCTTGCTCTCCAGTTCACTATCATTACAGCGGTAGACACAAAAACTCTTCGTTTGGGCAGTTTAACCTCAATTTTTTTGGAAGTTAAGCACCTTTCTTCTTTTTGGTTGATAAAAAATGTTCATGTTTTTTTTGGCTTCCAAAGAGGCACTGGCTTAAGTCAGTCAGGGGAGGCACTAGTACTGTAGTGTTATTGCAAATATGTTCCTGAAGGACCAACTAGTAATATGTGAATGTAAAATTTTTGAAGTCCTGACTAAAAGGCCAAATTCCCTCTTCAACTTCATTGTCAAGAGTAAATGTGCATTTTTAGCAGCAGTCAGTTTCACATAGATAAAATCAAATGTGAGTTGTGAAGTGAAATTTGATCACAAGAGGTCACTTGAGACGCATTCTGATGCCAAATGTGAACCACAGCCAGACAACTGGGTCTATTCTCGACACAATCTGGATACTTAACACGACAGCACCCATGAATCACATGCACATCAAAGATTTAAAGGCCTTCAACTTGGTGTAACTAAGCAGAGTATCCACTGCTGTTACATCCAGCTGTTGTGACTATTCTTTTGGTTTGGTTAGGTTTATTGACATTATATTTAGAAAATACAACATATGAATCTTACTTCCAGCATTGTCACTTACTTGTGTTTTCACAGTCCACTAACTTCATGAACACAGATGAAACTCAATATCTGACATGAAAAAAGAAATATTAAAAAATAGGAACAAAAAACATAGAAAATCGAATAACAAACAATTTATAATTTTTTCATTAAAGCAGGCTAGGGGTGCAACAATTTATTACTTTCAATATTGATTAATCTGCAGATTATTTTCTCAATTCACTGATTCATTATTTTGTCTATGAAATTTCAGGTAATTATAAATAAATGCCACGTTTAAAATTACATTTTCATATTGCTTGTATTAAATCACCAACTGTCCAAAACTTGAAGAGATTTCTTTTACTTTCATACAGCAAATCGTCACACTGGAGAAGCTGTAGTCAAAGACTGTTTGGCATTTTTGCTTGAATGAATCAATGAATGAAATATTTACTTGGTTATTAAAATACTTGTGGGTTGATTTTCTATCAATTGACTAATTAGCTAACTCTTTAAAGCTAAAAAAAAAAGGAAAAAGTAACGTAGACAAAAACAAATGTCCTCAAGACAATGGCTGTATGACATAGGTCAAAGTGCAAATATAAATGAATTACTTGATACTATATAATAAGTTTTAATTCTAGAAATATAACAATCATCAAAAATAATTGATTAGCGTTTGTTTTACAGGTAGAAAGATTTGACCTCTCTAATCTTCCATATTATATTGTAATCTACACTTGTGCAAAATTGTTGCTTTCGAGTGAATATTATGTATCTGCAAATATGATGATACTCTTTTCTCAGATAATTTTAAGAATTAAGTTTTCCTTTCTCGGTAGAGGAAATTCTATCTCTTAAGACGAATAAACCAATAAAAACTAATTGCCTGAAAATCACATTATCACAAAGCAGCGCAGTAACACTTTGTTTAACGGGATTTGAGACCTGTAAAATAAAGTGTTACCGACTGCTTTGATATGTTAATGAAGTACATAAAATTCTGACCATGTCTCCTCTGTTTTTTCCGTAGGAGATTACCCTGCATGCACCTCTTCCACCAGGCGTGTGTGGACCAGTGGCTGGCCACCAGCAGGAAATGCCCCATCTGCAGAGTGGACATTGAGACCCAGTTGACCCCCGACAGTTGATAGCTCCTGTCGACTCCTGCAGCTTTGGATCTGGTCTTGTGAATTCTCCATTGCCTACCCTCTGTGGGGAGGCTCTGCCAAACATCCCTCTTCCCCTCTGCATCACTCAACGAGCCTGCCTAGTGAGACAGCTGTGACAGAGGGATCAACAAAGCACACTCACCTACAACACAACGAGGGACGGGGGTTGATGCACAGATAAGTGGCTGGACTGAAGGTTGGTTGAATGGACTTCACTGGATGTAAACGGTAGGAGCGGACACGTATGGACAGATGTGCTGAGGCTTTACAAGATTCTGTGTACCCTGCGTACATTTCTCCATACAGCCACCAAGAAAGAGAGAACACTGACTACCAACCTCCCCAGCTCAGTGTGGTGTATTAAGGCCATTTCTCTGCCACAACACCCAAACCCTTTCCCCCAGGCCTGTGAAAAATCCTTTAAGCTGCACTCTGCCCAAGCCCTCAGCACATCTGTACAGAACATTATCAAATGATTAGCATGAGGTTGTTTGGTGTGAACTCTTGTAGCTGAACGCTTGTGGTGTAATGGAGTATAGTACTGAATAAGTATTTACAGAGTAACAGTGTTGTGTAGCAAGCAAAAGCCTTTTGAGAAATATGTTTGTGAAAAATAAACCTACAGAGAGGGTGAATACAGCTCTAACAGTGAGAATATTCAGTGTGTTAAATCATAGGTAAACGAGAGAAAGAGCTAGTTGTGTAAAAAGGCCAAAAATCCCTCTTTCTTGTCTAACATGGTTTTGGATTTACAGTTAGTAGATGCCATCAGAATTGATGCTAAACCCGCTAACTGCAGGCATGGCTTCCAGTGATCTGTGTAGTGTCGTAGTCGGGCCTCTATAATCTAGAGCAGAGGCCTCAGATGTGCATGCTGTATGGCAGGCTTGGGCTGTATCGTTAATATTGTGGAGCAGTAGAAACAGGGACTGTGTCTGTGCATGTGAACCGTATACTATGACTCTGACGATCCCACTCATTCATAGAGGAGGACAAAGAATGCACCTGATACCCCACCTCCCTACACCCCTCCCCACTCTAGACCAAAGTTGCCCTTAGACACCGATCTCAGACAAATGTAGCATTTCTCTCCTAATATTTATTTGTGATTAGGATTCAAAGAGCTGCCAGTGGATCAGTGTCTAACAGCAACTCCTCTGTGTTGCCTCACTCATGGCATGATCGTGATCATGAGAGGCCGGCATGGGCTTGAGGATGCAGTGCCTGAGTCTTGCCATCAGAGTGAATAAAATCTGACATTTGTATTACCTATTACCAGAACCTTATTGCCTATCGAACAAGCACATGTGATTTCTATATACAGTGAATCGCCTCTGTTGTGTATCGGCTCCTTTCATTTCAATCTAAGTTGCTCCCACTGTTTGATAAAAAGACTGTGTCTGGTGTTACAGGGAAAATACAAACTAGTTTGCCTGTGATATGTGCTAGAATGTGTATGATTGTCCCCACAACCCCTCTCCCCCATGGTAGTAGTGTATGGTATTGCTAGAACAACTGTGATACGTTCAGTGATAGAAGCCGTTTTCTCTATATCATGCATGAACCATGTTGGCGTAGTTCACTTGAAGGAGGGTGAAAGGGAGAAAAAGCCATCCATTTGAAAAATACCAAACAATTGTTCTTAACATTTGTTTTATTTCAATTGTCTTTTTTTCTGCCATTTCTTTTTTTTTTTTTTTCTTATTACTTGTAATTTTTTTTTTTTTTTTTTGCTCACATGCCAATTTGGACATGGTACTAATATGCCGAGTCCTTGTCCATTTTAACCATAGTGAAGAAAAAGCTGCAATGCTGCAAAAACATATTTATTGTTGTTATAATGTAGCTTGTGTTTTGTAAATGCACTATAATATGGAGATGCCTGAGTTTTGGTTTGGTGATGTGGGTTCTTCTTGTCCTAGATTTTGTGTTTCTTATCAGTTTCAAGTATTTTCATGCTTCCTTGTGTATTATTGGAGGGTAACTTGACTGTTTGTGTTGCGTTTTTTTTTTCTTTTTGTATGAAACCTCCATCCAAAAAACTACAGATGGATGAAAATGGAGGTTCGCTAGTTCACATAGAATGCTGTGATTAAAGATGCCTTAAGTATTTAACAATCATTATTTATTACTAACTGTAGCTAGCTAGCTATTGTGGTGGAATATTTAATGTCTCTATCTCATAACTTTGCAATTTAATCAATATATTTATTTAAAATAACACAAAATATTAAAAAAAGAATACCTCATTATGCATTGGTCGGTGGGGATGCTTTTGCATGCCGTCTGTGTTTTCTTTTTCAAAGGAGAAAAAAAGAAACTTGTTGAAAAATTGACTGGGGGTGTTTCCCAACACATTTTCTAGCCAGCATGGTGCTGTTGATCTGGATTACATTCCATTCATGTCATTTGTTGATTTTACTTTAACATATTTTTTAATTTCTTAAATATCATCCCTGCTTTGAGCTGAAGCAGATGATGGGGTACAACCCCTTTTGTCTTAGTATGGCTCCACAATTAGCTTGCCTTTGTTATACGATACTGCTTTGTTTCCCATAATCAGTCATATTTGATTTAATTTTTGATATTTGTTTTGTTTTATTGTGACCACATTCATGATATTTCATCATATCTGGATCTCAATTTAGTGCATATTATTTTAGGACCCACGTAACGAGCTGTATTATTTGTTCTTATGTATTGCTGGCAGTTGCTTTGTGTGGGATTTCGGGAAGTATGTAACATGCTAACTTGAGCCATTGATCTTATTGAGCAAACTTCTGGTGTACTGTGGTTATACAATATAGATAGCGTGTTTTACACCTGGGTATAATAAGCTAACTACGTTTTCGGTGTGCATTTCTTATTAATACTCTACTAATCCTGCAAATTATTATAACATGTATTGGATTGGAATGAAGCTGGCTGGTCTTACTATTATTCTTATTTCATTTCGTGCTCTCACTGGCCTTACCCCATGCCCTCCACAGTGTACCCCATTACTCCAGAGCGAACTGGACAGTAGCCATAGTATTAACTCAAGCTGATGAACCGGAATGAACAGTAGAACTTAAAGCACAAGCTTTTTAATGCATGTCCTTCTCAGGTTTTCCTATGTGTATGTGGGAGTAGCTCTGTAGATGTGTTTAATATGATGCTGTACCTTCTTGAATATTTCAGATGTTTCTTTGCTGCTGAAAAAATGTCGATTATTAACCTGCCAGTGAAAAAGGGAAGTGGCCATCTTTGTACAACACACTGCTGTTTTGCTGTAACCGCGCAATGTTTTATGATCTTGAGTATTTTATAGAAAAGTAGAAGTATGTATCAATAATATGAAAGCAATAGCTAAATCATAATGAAGAATAACATGATCAGTGAATATTGTGGAAAATCTTTAGATTCACTCTGGGTGGATTTTGTACTGTATTTATTACTAATGATGATGCAAAAAGTTGCATAGCTTAACCCAAACTGTTCTGTCTCTTTTTTATTTATTGTCTTGTATATGATCTTTTTGTATGTGTTTTTCAAATAAACTGCCTAAAATGCTGAGAACTAATCTAGCTTGTGGTGGTATGTGGTGTCCTGTTGTAGTCATTTACTTTAACAATACTCTAGTAAGCAAAATTTATAGAGATGTCAACAATTTTAATACAAATATTGACCAACATTAGGTTTTGGCAGATATATCTGTATCAGTGTAAATGTCTGCTAATACAAAACAAGAAACTGCAGCACAGCAATGTCAATTATATGTTTGAAATCATTTAGAAACACTATAATTGTCCTACTCGGAACATGACTTGCTCAGAACTAATTTAAAGGTTCCTGACTAACAATGTTTATTTTAAAAAATGATTATTGGCCAATAAATCATTACTGCATAGCATCAAACATCATTTATCTGTGGGCTATAATTTGTCATGTGACATCACATTTGTGTCACCAAAAGAAAAGGTATATTTGCAAAGTAAATAATTCATATAAAATAAGAATATGCTTTGTCAGAATGTAATGTTCAAATAATATGTAAATAGTAAAATTTGTGTCAAAATAGTTAAATAAAGAATGAATGAATTAAATGAATAGATTCCTCTCATTTCAAGTTACATTTCAGCCCTTCTACTGGTTTTCTAGTTTACATTTCTTCTGTCCTCCATTTATATCTAATTTCTGTCCAATTACTTCCCAGCTGTATATAACTATAATTTTTAGGAATATAATTAACTGGACCTGGACCCAGATAAGTGGCAGAAAATGAATGGGTAGATTAGCAAATAAATAACCTGTGGCTAGCATCAACAATAATAATAAATAGTAATAACACGCTTCAACATACTGTAAAACAAAAGAACTAACAAAAAGCCCCCTGAATGCATAATCCACTGTCTCACTTGTAACTTATAGATGTAAAATAAAAGTTACAGCTAATGTTACTGTCTACTGTCTATTCAAGACCTATGTAAATGGCATTTAGGACTTTTTAAGTGATGAAGGTTTGTAGAGCTATTTCCTGGCTTTCTTTTCCATCTGTACGTGAGTGATTTACAATAAGCAGAGGGTTAAGACTAAATGTAATAGGGCTTTTAGGCAATATTCAAGTTTGTTTATTTTTGAAATTGTACAAGAAAAGATGGTAGGCAAATGTGATTTTGTGAAATTGGAAGAGGGCTCAACCTAAACACTTGGCACAACCTTAAAAAAAGAACACTAGTGTTACCCTTTAAAAGTTGACATACAGCTACATTCAGGGCTGTTAATTTCAGTCTTTTTTCCTCACAAAGCTTATCTGACATGCAGTGAAAAAACAAGTCTCTAAAGGAGATGCTCACCCACTCTTCGTCTCACATGTCCTCCCTCCTAATATCTGGGGTAGAGCACTCGCTGAATCTGCCCGTCGGCCTTATGATTGTCCAGCCACTTTCCACACTGGAAGATGGTTGTGACAGAGTTGGCTGTGTTGGTCACCTCAACGCACTCTAAGTACCACCCACTGTTGGACCTGCTGTTGTCGTGCTCCACTTTGACCCTCAGCAGCTCCCCGAGGTCCAGCATCTCCAGGACAAAGCGGTCCGTTTGCCCCCGCTCAAAAAGGTTGCGGAACTTCTGCCGCAGATGCCGCTTGCCCGAGTCACCGTTGACGCCGTAGATGGTGATGAAAACGTTGGCGTCTGTGCCGGCAGCTTTGACATCCCCGGTGATGACGATGATCTCGTACTTGACGGGAACCAGGTTGCGGACTTTGCTTGCGAAACTCTCAATGGACTTGTAGCACTCAAATGTAAGGAACTGGTCCTTTTTGGCTGCCAGGGGGATTTGTGCATCACAGTGGAAGAAATATCTAAACAGGAGGGAAGGTTTGGAGTCACATCCAAGGATCTTTAAAATAATATTCTATATAACATAATGTAGATCCACTCACTTGTTTCCCAGCTCCTTCTCTGTCACCACCACCTCCATGACATGCCAGAAAGCTTCACTCTTGACCTTCTTGCTATCTTTTGTTATGTGGCCGAGGCAGATGCCGGCGATCTCCCCCACGTGTTTGGACGAGAACTCAAACGTGTCAGTGGCACCACTGTGAAAGGACAAAAGTTTCAACTAGTTTGATCCTGAACAGTTAAATTCGCCGGTGTGCCGGAAAGCTTTTCTCATGGGATTAGCTCTCCAGAGAGCAGA